CCTCTTTATACCTTAGTTAATACATCTCAATATACCTCATTTAAGTTTTACAACTTTTAAGAGCTAATCCCATCAACACAAGACACAAACTTATGTCAAAGTTATTATATACAACGAGTTTAAGGATTAGGGGAATAATGAATATGGTCATTATAATGATATTTTTTTTGTTTTATTTTAATTTATTAAAATCCCGGGTAAACTGCATTATAAAAACATTTCGGCATAAAAGCAGTTTTTGGCATAAAAATTGGTTCTCTGCATAAAGCAATATAATAAAAAAACCGTTTACGTTATCCATTCCCCATACCGATCTGGGAATTTTTTCATTCTGGTCGACCGTCTAGGCAAAATCGGTAAAGGCGACTGTGATTGGTCTGAAATAAACTGACTATGTGGACCGCTCACAGAAGCTCTGGTACTACGGCTGTCTGAAACACTGGTGTAAGTTGACTGTCTGGGAGAACTCACACTCTGAAATGAAGGACTTGAATTCTGAAATGAAGAAAAAATATTTTGATTAGTATCATATGATACACTAGAGACTTTAGATCCTGATATACTGTGCTGATCTGATAATTCTTTGCTGAATTCATCTCTATTTCTAGGTATCCTTGATTTCACTTCAATTGTGACTTCATCGTCCGAACTCTCAGAATTGGACTCTGGAAGTTCATCAGAATTCCTATGCTTCTTATTTCTTCTTGTCACAGGTGTCCTATTAACAACAGGTTCATCACTGTCACATACTGGGTGTCTTTGTGGCTCGTCCTGATGTACTCTTCACTCTGAAAACAGGGATCTCGGGATTGGGAATTTCTGTGATAGCATAAACTTCTGAATCCCATCTGTCAGCTAGTTTATTCTTTCCCTTTAATCCTACTTTCCGCACAAGGACACTGTCTCCAATCTCCAGATTACGAAACCTTACTCTCTGGTCATACTTATTCTTGTTTTTGTCAGATATTCTCCTAGCTTCTCGAGAGGCATGTCTATAAGCTGACACCATCCTGTCCTTAAGTTTCTCAACATAACCATGGTGATCTCCTATCTCATGTTCCAAGTCCATACCAAAGAATACATCTATGGGAAGCTTAGGTTGCCAACCGAACATCAGGTAGTGTGGAGTGTATCCCGTTGCATCATTTCTGGTCGCATTGTAGGCTTGAACGAGTGGAGCAACATGGGATTTGCCGTCTGACTTCTGCTTCTCGTTGAGTGTTGAGAGCATCTTGATGAGTGTTTGGTTGAATCGCTCAGCTGAGCCATTTCCCATCGGGTGATACGGCGTAGTCCTTGTTTTCTTACTTCCTAGGAGTTTGCAGAGTTCTTGGATTACTTTCGACTCAAAGTTACGTCCCTGGTCGCTGTGTAATTTCTCAGGAAAGCTGTAATGTAGGAAGAACTTATCAAATAAAGCTTTAGCTGTAGTATGAGCAGTTTGATTTTTACATGGAATGGCTTGAGCGAATCTGGTAAAAATGGTCCGTTATAACTAAAATACTCTCAAAGCCTCCTTTTGATTGTTCTAAACTCAGAAAATCAATGCAAACTAACTCCATGGGTCTTGTCGTCACAATCGGTATAAGTTCTGCTGCAGGTCTCACAGGTGTTTTACTACATATGCATCTATTACAGGTCTCTACCTTCCTAGTGATGTCATTCTCCATGCCTGGCCAATAAAATCTCTGTCTGGCTAACCAAAGGGTCTTATCCTTACCTGGATGACCTACATCATCATGAATTCCCTGTAATGCGACTGATCTAAAACTCGCTGGCACAACTAATTGCAAAGATCTTTTACCATCCTGGAAAGCGGTTTTACAAAGAACTCCATCTACCACTTGCAGCTTCTTAAAGATTCTCACATACCTCTGTACATCTGGAGATTCTTTCCGTATATTTCCTCCCCTGGGTCTGAAATCGTTTTTCAGGATCTGTAGAACTCTGTTGATGGCTTGATCCCTGGATTGTTCTTCTATCCAGTCATGACTGCTGAGTGTGTCGCAGGGAAAAATCTCCTCATCGGCCGCTTGAGGGGCATCTTCCTCGGAAACACTCTGGCAACATGGTATCTGTACTGAAGCAGCATTACAAAGAGCCTTAACTGTGTCCTTAAAAACAACTGGTTTCCTGGATAGACCATCAGCATCTGTATTTAAGTTTCCACTCCTGTATGAAATCTAGAAGTTGTAATTAGTAAGGCTGGCTACCCATCTCTGACTTGTTGCATCAAGCTTGGCCTTGGTGAATATGTAAGTAAGCGGATTATTGTCCGTTATATCTTCAAACTGATTTCCGAACAAGTAGTCGTGTAGCTTGTCGCAAACCGCCCACTTAAGCGCCAAGAACTCTAGCTTATGTGCAGGGTAGTTCTTCTCACTGGGTCTCAGTCCTCTGCTTGCGTACGCTTTCACCCTCTTTTGACCTCCTTGCACGTGATACAGGATTGCTCCTAGGCCTTTGGAACTGGCATCAGTATGTAGTATAAAAGGCTTGTTGTATTCTGTATATCCTAAGATAGCTGGTGGTGTTGTCAATTTTTCCTTGATGTCACGGAAAGCCTTTTCCTGTTTCTGTCCAAATCCACGGTACTGGTTTCTTCTTGGAGATTGGTTTATTGAGTTCCTTCTGCTTTTTACCAGTTTTGGTCTCATGGCCTTTCAACAAGTTGTTCAATGGAGCAATGATACTGGCAAAGTTCTTCACAAATCGCCGGTAGTAGCCAATGAACCCCAAAAACCTGTCTCAGCTCCTTAACATTGGTAGGTGTTGGCCATTCCGCAACAGCAGCAACTTTTTCTGGGTCTGTGGAAATTCCTGACTCTGAAATGATATGTCCAAGATATGTAACAGACTGTTTGAAGAATTCACATTTTGAAGGTTTAAGTTTTAAGCCATGTTCTTCTTATCTCTGAAACACTCTTTCTAAACGTTTACAATGTTCTTCGAAAGTTTTGGAAAAAATCAAAATATCGTCAAGAAAAATCAAACACTCTTTGAGATGAATTTCACCCATGCATTTCTCCATTAGTCTTTGAAACGTTGCTGGAGCAATTGTCAAGCCAAAACACATTCTATTTCATTCGTAAAATTCAAAGTTACCTACTGAGAAAGCTGTTTTGTGTTTGTCCTGTTCCTCTATCTCCACCTGCCAGTATCCTGACCGCAAGTCTAATTTACTGAAGTATTTGGCACCACTCAGTGTATCAATGACATCGTCAAAGCGCGGTAGCATGTAACAGTCTTTACGAGTCTTTGAATTCAAAACGCGCATATCAATACAAAAACGAAGAGAACCGTCTGTTTTCCTAACTAAGACTACGTTAGAACTATAATTACTGTGGGATTCTCTTATCACACCTGCCTCTAGCATTTCTTTGATATGCTGTCTCACTTCATCATACATAACAGTAGGTATTCTCCTGTAAGGTAACTTAAATGGAGTCTCATCTTCAAGTTTGATACTAAGTATCCAACCAAGTCATTCTTCCCTAGATCCCATGGACCTCTGGAGAAAACATGACTGTACTTTGTCAGTAATTGGTTTACAGTTTTATACTGTGGTTCTGATAATGAAGTCTTATCTACTTTCACACCCAACTCTATAGGACTCACATTATCTGACTGAGAGTTATTCCCCGTTAGGGTACTCCCACTTTCAATAACTTTTGCCTCCTGTAGAGAACAAAGTATTGAATTGGGTCTCAGAGTAATAGGTTTCGCTGAAATATTGCACACCTTGACTCTGACTTTGGGTTTGACAGTATTTGGTGACAAAGTGACAACTCTCGGACACACTGCATAACTGTCATTACTCTGAGAATTCTCAGTCACTAAAGTAGAAATATTTTTGTCAACACCTCTTACTATTCCATTGACAAGCGACTGATATGGTTCTATAGTAATGTTTTTCTTGGTTGTTGTCTTGACACAATATGACTTGCACTGTGTATTGTCAAAAGCCAATCGCCACGCATCAGGTAACTGACAAGACACATGCGAGTAATAATCCCTACATATTCTCAAAATATTTGTCCCAACAATAACAGGACAGTATGTGTTGAACTCTGTATCTGGTACTATCACAATTGGAACAAATAGTTCAATATCAAGTAACTTGATTGTACACTCAATGTAACCTTTGTACTGCAGAACTGAACCATCCGCTACAGATATTTGCAGTCCAAGGGTAAACAACTCTTTAACTCTGGTTTGTCAAGAAGATTGTTGTACTCTTTATCAGACAATGTTGTAATCATAGACCCACTGTCTAATAAAGCATTCATAGTTGTCACAGGATCATTATTTACTATTTACTATGGTTTAATTTGCGTATGCGTCATTTCATTCATTCATTCATTCATGGTGTGAAAGTTCATGACCTCTGATGTCATACGGTGAGTATGGAATGCGTATGGGTGTGTTTGACTGGTTTTTCCAGTCACTGCGCATGGCTGGCGCGAATTTTAGTAACCCTTGCATGAAATAATATTTTTATCACTTCTGATGAAAACCCTCGCAGAGACAGACGTTACTACGGACTTACGTTTGTAACTTAACCTTATATAAATAAGAGTGTTAAATTATGTCTACATGGTAAGTTATTTTAATTAAACTTTTTTATAATCAGTAAATTAAATTATGAATTAAATACTTGATAGAAATTTCAGTTAAATGTTTAATGTGTGAATGAACGGTACGTAAGGTATTCATATTTATTGTAGACCACCATTGATGATATATATACCATGCCATAATTCCATTTGAAAAATCATTATTAAAATATATATACATGAACTAGTGAGCTGTTTGTGTTTTGGTCTGGAGATAGACGTATCCACGTATTGTGACTTTAATTAGAGAAGTTACACCCTATGACATAGTCACACCCTGTAACACAATTTCAACTTCATTTGACTCACCAATCATGTCACATTTAATTTGTTGGCCATTACCTCTGAGTACACTGGTCTCTCCTTGGCCACTAGTAGAGACCACTAAAAGTTTGGGTCCTGCTTCTCTGCCCCTGAACTATGATATTGTCCCTTGGACTTAACATATCCTCTATACTGACCTCTCTGGTTTCCCCGACTTCCTCTGTAGGAGTCACTACTGTGAGAATGTCCCCTAAAATACTCACCTCTTCCTCGGTTAGTACTTTGTCTTCCTCTGAAGCTACCTCTCCCTCTACTATAATCTTGTCTAGAGTCAACTTTAGGTGCATCAAGTTTCATCAAAATCTGACTTAACTTATCCTCAATCTTACCCTCTAACTCTGTCTGTAAATTCTGAATTCTCTTGTTGATTCTTTCCTCAGCTTCACTTTCTACTGCTATACCATGTTGATGTAACCTGGGATTTTTATCAACACCTTGACTCACCTTTTCTGAACTCTTTTTGTTGATCATAATTTCTTTCTCAACCCTTCTAATTTCAAGTAAAAGCTGATCATAGTTCTTAAATGTATCGTACTTATGACGCGTTTGTGATTTTAACCGATCAGAACTCAACGAAGTCCAGAATTTATGACGGAGTAAATCATTCTTAGATGATTTGTTCAAATAACCATTGTCAATTGCATTCTGTAACATGCTTTCTAACCTACACCCAAAAGATGTCGCACACTCTCCCTGAAATTGATATGCATTAAAGAACTTTTGCATGATCATAGCATTATTTGACACTTCACCAAATAAAATTTTTAGTTTATCAAGTATTTCTTGTACACTAGCTTTTTCACCGAGAGGAATAAGCATGGTTTTAGCTGTACCCCGCAGAGATCTTCTGATACTCTGAATAATTACTGTCTCTTTTATTTCAGAATCATTCATTAGACACTGAACCTCATATCGCCATTCTCTATACGTAACATCACCCTTTTGTGGGGGTTCATCTCCAGAAAACTGGGGAATTCTAGGGATTTGAGAATGTGTTACCTCATAAAAATGGGATGTGTTCCCTTCTTGATTTACTTTAAAGGGATTGCTTTGAGGGGGTAAACCACTGAAACTCTTACATTTAACCTCACCATAGGGGTCACCTTTACCAATGTCAGGTACACTGGGAGGGGGTGGGAATTGGTATGGTTCAGAAGTTTTAGCATTGGGGAACATTAATGGCTTTTGATCTTTACTAACAACAGGAGTACTTGTTTTTGGAACATCCGCCTCTGAAACACCTGCAAAGTCCAACTTACTTTCCTCATGCAATGAACCACCCTCATCTTTAGCCTTATCAAGTAACTTCTTGAGTTTTTCAGACACCTTATCTACCTTCTTAGACTCTTCAACCTTATCTGCCATTTCAGACTCTTCAACTTTGTACACAAGTCAAACAAACTTTCAATAACGCTAAAATCTAATGGTCACTCAAATGTATCACTTACAAGTAATAAACTTGATAAAGTACAAGTAACCTGTAATCACCTGTTATATCAATTCATAAAAACGCAGCGCAGATATGCAAAGCTCATGAAAATTTCATTGGCAAGCACACACAAACACTCAGACAAAGTAACACTCATGCACATCTGTCAATAAAGGTCAAGGTTGCCATGTCAGTGCAAAGGTTAGTTGCATGCAAGGGAAGTGCAAAGAAATGATGACCTAATTTCTAATACAAAGATTTTTTTAACTAATTCCCGGTATAATCAATTTCCAAAAGTACACAAATAAAATTCAATTCCAAAACAGAAAAAATAAACTTTACAACTTTTCCGAAAAAAAAAATCAAAACAAAAATAAACAAATAACCTTACAAGTAAATAAATAGCAGGCCTGAATTAAAAAAAAAATTACTTTTATAAACATCAAAGAGAAAAAATAAAGTTCAAATGTTAAACAAAATTGAAAATAAACAAATCGAAAAACAAAATTGATCGATCAGCTGTTTACACAATTACAGGTTCCGGTTGTTCTACCTTTAGATCTAAACATAAACTCGGGAATTCCCTATGCAAGTTTATGACAAAATGACAGAACAAATTCAATCTATTACAGCACAAATACAGACACAAATACAACACAAATACTACTTGTATTCACATCATCAGAACAAATAAACACTGAATTTCACAGTACCTGAGGCCTCGTAGATTACTTTCGAGTCTCCTCGCGGATCAACATGGGTTCATGCGGGTCACGTGGTTCGCCGCGTCTTTGGATCCGTGCGTGTTCCCGCCATTGGTGTAACATTGAACACGTCGAAAATTTGACAAACTGCTTCACTCTTTGTTCCTTGGAAATAACGGAATAAACGCACAGACACACAAACACACAGAATCACCTCTTCATTTGGCTTTGCATAATAGATGCTGGCGTGAAAATAAGTCACCGCTCCGGTTCGTCTTAGCCACGGTCCTCGTCTCAATTTGTCCGTCCCCCGGGGATTGAGATTCCAAGGAAATAAAGCTGTGGTGTGATGTCCCGGTTTATTAGAATTGCGAGGGCGCCATTTGTAGCCAGTGGTAGTACATCAGAAATAACATCTGGTTCAGGTTCAACAATTTATTTACGTTAAAATAAACCTAAAAAAAAAACCGGGACACACACAAGAATCACTGTAGTGCATAGAGCGCTCTCCTGGCAATTTGAGGGTCTTGGGTTCGAGTCCCAACGTGGGCGCCATTTGTAGCCAGTGGTAGCACATCAGAAATAACATCTGGTTCAGGTGCAACAATTAATTTATTAAGCGTAGAAATAAAACGTCAAAAACCTGAAATGTTACAATTACACACAAGATATAGACGACACATAGACAGACATTTAGACAGATAATTAAAACATAATAGACTTTACTTTAGAATAGATTTCTTACCGGGACACACACAGGGATTTACAAATATTACTGTCTGTTATTGACATCTAACCAGTTTGACGGCTAGGCTAAGAGTGCCCGATGTTAGTGCGTGAAAGCGGGAGTTTGGTGAATGGGATAAAGTCATGTGACTGTCCGTCTAGTGTCTAAAAATAACTACTTCATTCACACAAAGTCTTTCATACCACATTCTCACATATACGCAGCGCAAGTATAGTATGGCATTAAATAATACATATCCCTGGTTACATATGAATAGTAAACATTAAACAATAGTAAACACTTTGAAATACATATGAAACACTATTCAAAATCAAAAGTCCATAAACAATACAAAACAGGAGCGGAGGAAACACAAACCTCCAGAACATTGAGGATTAAGCATCTCCTGCTGACCGGTCACATGATCAGGAAATAAAGGAAAAATCCGTCGTCAATTCCGTGTATAAATAATGGACTAACAATGAGTTTGAAAAACATTAGTCAGCATTTGACTGAATGATAAATTCTTAAAGTCTTACTGCTGTATCTTTGGGTTATTTTCTCAGTCGTTGTATTTTCCAGACAGGTAATATTTCTGTAAGGCGGGATTCCACCACAAAGGGAGCTCACTCTCCTTCTTGACCATCATTCCAACACCGCTGACGTCACATTTATACCTCCCTGGGAGAACCTCCAAGTCGTCAAAACGAGTCCGCATGGAAAACAGGATTTTAATTTTTATCTATGTAATATTCCACACGACAACAATGTAACTTTTGCTAATTTCATCTATCGAGGCCGAGTCTAATAATTTCTGCCCTAGGGATTTTGATAATATTTTGGTAATTAATTTTCACTGTTATATTAATTGTTTTAAGATTAAAAAATCGCATATTAATCATCCCGATTTCTTAGGGGGCTATTTCAAAAGTTGTCAAAGTTTACTATTGGAACCTTTGAGAATTTTTTGGAAAAGCGCCAAATTATCACATGTTTTCATATTTGTTGTATTTCTGCCCTATAGGATTCTTTTTCATTCAAGTAGATTAAAGTTATCGTAAAAAGGCATCAAAATGTGAAATTTAAAAAAAAAAAAAAAAAAAAAAAAAAAAAAAAAAAAAAAAAAAAAAATTCACCATCTAGGTTGGTCTTGTAATTAATTACTAAGTTTACTTTTTCAAAGCCCAAATGCCCCATGAATTGCCTTATAACGGAATAAATATTTATCAGTGCGGATGAATTATCGGTGCATATGATTTTTTTGGCAAAATAGCAATGTTTACATTGCTTGTATATTTCTCTGCATGAAATTAAGAAACTGTAAAAAGTCCTGCGCATTCGAATCAGACTCGGCCTGGTTCTTTAACTGCAAAGCAAAAGCTGCAGATTTGTAAATTTTCGTTACTTGCACGTTTTAGAATAAATGTATGCATCTTGGAAATTTGTAAAAAAAAAAATTGCTGGCTCTTTAATTTATCAATGCAGACGATATCCTTTTGTCTCATTGATTAATAATTTTAATAGCGAGCGCAGCTCTTAAAGCAACACCTGTGCGAAGAGAAAATTCGGACTATGCACATTCATTCGACAGAATTTTTTGATGCAGTAATTTGGACCCACAATACATCACTTGTTTTAGCTACGTTCTCGCAAGAATCACGGCAAATCTTCAACAAAAAGTTTACTCGCCTTGACTTAATGGATATATATTGAAGATAAATAGAAAACAAAACGTTCTTCATTAACTTTCAGCACTGTTCAGGCTTTTTCTCGGTATATTGCGACTTACATACGTCATGTGACGTCAGAGTCTAGACACACCAAATGGCAAGTGCGGTTTGACGAGCCCGATCGAAATCCAAACAATAGAAGAGTTTGCGCTCACTCTAACGGTCGCACCGTCAACATATTATACATGTATTTCTATTCTTCAAAATGCTTTTCGAAATAAAATTACAAATGAAATGTGAAAATTAAAGAAAAATGCTTGACTGTGATACTTAAACTTACAGTATAGTTTTGCAGCAGTTCTTTGGCTTCTGCTATTACGGAAGCAACCACAACCTGGTTAGGTTTCCCGAGCCCGATCCTAATAGCACACTATTCATTTGTAAAAGCTCCATTCAGTTTCACTAAAGCAAAGATTCATTTTAAATTGTGTAAAAAAAAAAAAAAAAAAAAAAATATATATATATATATATATATATATATATATATATATATATATATATATATATATATATATATATATATATATATATATATATATATATATATATATATATATATATATATATATATATATATATATATATATATGAGTAAAATATATATATTCTCGAAAGACGTTAATCGACATACAATTAATCAATTAATCAATCAACCAACCAATTAATCAATCATTGAAAGAAAAATACTCTTGTCACCCGCACGACGCAGTGGTTACTTAGGGCATCTGCTTTACTGTCATAAATTAAGGAATTGATCGCGGGTTTGAATCCCAATGTTGGACGTGGAGACCGGTCCTTTGGATGAAACCGAGGTCCCAGAAGCTGCTGGCAAGAAAAAGATCCTTCAATGTTCGTAAGTACCGCGTTTGACAAAATTTGCAACTGTCTACAGGCAAGTGGTGGCGTCTCAATTTGAGTGATATTTCTCAAAAGGGACGTTTAACGAAAAAAACAAAAACAACAGACACAGGGGTCATATCACTCACCCGAGAAATTTGGGTGGAAAAAAGCAGAAATCAGTTTAGTATTTGAAATTTTAAATAAATAAAAGTGGTGGTGGAGGGAGTGGTTGTGGTAATGAATTGAATAAACTTGAATCTACACTTCCTAAGGATGCTTTTATATTATGACCAATCATGACTTTTCTGTATTTGTGAAGAATTTTAATTTTTTTTCTATGCAAAATTTTTATCACCCATTGTCCCCCTACTCCTGGGGACATGATTTTAAAAAATTGAATCTACACTGCATCCATATAAATATGACCAGTTTTAGATTTAAATCTTTAGAGAAGATTTTAAAAGATTTTTCCCTACTTATTCATGTGTAAAACTTTGATCCCCGATTATGCCCCCACCTTACTCTTGGGGTAATGACTGGAGAAAATTGAATTTACACTACCCTAGGATGCTTCCAATAAATATGACCAATTATGGCTCTGTTGTTCTTGAGAGAAATTTAAAATAAATTTTTCCTAAATATCCTTATGTAAAACTTTGATCCCCAATTATAGCCCCATCCTACCCCTGGGGTCATGTTTTGAACAAAAATAAATCTATACAAATTTGAGGATGCCAAGCTCATGTTTGACCCATCATCTGGCGAAATCTCCCACAGAATCAAATTAATAATGAAATTATAACGCCAGTAGAAAAAAGATCAGGGTTCCCTTAATTTTAATTTAAAATTAATGATTTTATTAGGGTCCTTATAATTTACTTTTTACTTTATGTCACCAGTGATAACGTGTAAGGTGAATAACATGAACCGGAAGG